CACTTTGGGAGGCCGAGACAGGCAGATCACGAGGTCAGGAGATCGAGACCATCCTGGCTAACCCGGTGAAACCCCATCTCTACTAAAAAAATACAAAAAACTAGCTGGGCAAGGTAGCGGGCGCCTGTGGTCCCAGTTGCTTGGGAGGCTGAGGCAGGAGAATGGCGTGGACCCAGGAGGCAGAGCTTGCAGTGAGCCGAGATCCGGCCACTGCACTCCATCCAGCCTGGGCGACAGAGCGAGACTCCGTCTCAAAAAAAAAAAAAAAAAAAAAAAAAAAAAAGAAAAAAAAAAAAAAAGAAAAAAGAAAAAAAGAAAAAAAAAGCTGGACAAGGTGGCTCACCCCTGTACTTCCAGCACTTTGGAAGTCCAAGGCAGGAGGATCACCTGAGGTCGGAAGATCGAGACCATCCTGGCTAACACAGTGAAACCCTGTCTCTACTAAAAATACAAAAATTAGCTGGGCGTGGTGGTGCACTCCTGTAATCCCAGCTACTCAGGAGGCTGAGGCAAGAGAATGGCTTGAAACCAGGAGGTGGAAGTTGCAGTGAGCTAAGATCAAGCCATTGCACTCCAACCTGGGCGACAGAATGAGACTCCATCTCAAAAAAAAAAAAAAGAGAGAGAGAGAGAGAGGAGAGAGAGAAAGAAAGGGAGGGAGGGAGGAGGGAGGAAGGAAGGAACATTGAGCTTGCCATGTTACCTACCACACCACGGTGGAGGTGCTGATGGGTAAAAGTTTGTACGTGGGAGTTGTATATTCATTCACTCACTCATTCATTCATTCATTCATTTTGAAAATTGTAGTAAATTATATATAACATAAATTTACCATTTTCATCATTTGTAAGTATGCATTTCAGTAGTGGTAAGTGCACCCACATTGTTGTGCAACCAATCTCCAGAACTCTTTTCATCTTGCAAAACGTAAGCTCAGTACCCGTTAAATAACTCCACATCCTCCCACCCTCCAGCCCTGGCAACTACCATGATACTTTGTCTCTATGAATTTGATTATTCTAGGTATTTCATATAAGTGGAATGGTATAGTATTTGTCTTTTTGTTACTGGCTTATTTCACTGAGTATAATGTCTTCACAGTTTATCTATGTTTATAGCATGTATCATAATTGGCTTCCTTTTAAAGGCTGAATAATATTCCATTGTATGTATAGAGCACATGTTTCTCCATTCATCTGTCAATGGGCACTGGGGTGTTTCCACTTTTTGGCTATTGTGAACGATGCTACTATGAACACAAGTGTATGAATATCTATTTGAGTCCCTGCTTTTAATTCTTTTGGGTCTATCTCCAGTACTGGCATTGCTGGATCATATGATGATTCTATTTTTAGTTTTTGAGGAACCTCGATAGTGTTTTCCATAGCCACTGCACCATTTTACATTTCTACCAGCAGTGCACAAGGGTTCGAATTTCTCCACATCCTTCACAATAGGTGTTATTTATTTATTTATTTAATTTATTTATTTTTGAGACAGAGTCTCGCTCTGTCACCCAGACTGGAGTGCAGTGGCACAATCTCGGCTCACTGCAACCTCCACCTCTGGGTTCAAGTGATTCTCCTGCCTCAGTCTCCCAAGTAGCTGGGACTACAGGCATACACCATTATGCCCAGCTAATTTTTGTATTTTTAGTAGAGACAGGGTTTCACCATGTTGACCAGGATGGTCTCGATCTCTTGACCTCGAGATCCACCCGCCTTGGTCTCCAAAAGTGCTAGGATTACAGACGTGAGTTACCGTGCCTGGCCCTTTATTTATTTATTTATTTATTTATTATTTATTTATTTATTTAGAGATGGAGTCTTGCTCTGTCTCCAGGCTGGAGTGCAGTGGTGTGATCTCGGCTCACTGCAACCTCTGCCTCCCGGGTTCAAGCGATTCTCCTGCCTCAGCCTTCCAAGTAGCTGGGACTACAGGTGCACGCCACCATGCCCAGCTAATTTTTGTGTTTTTAGTAGGGACGGGGTTTCACCATGTTGGCCAGAATGGTCTCGATCTTTTGACCTTGTGATCCACCCACCTTGGCCTCCCAAAGTGCTGGGATTACAGGTGTGAGCTACTGCACCCGGCCTATTTTATTTATTTTTAATAGTAGCCATACTAAAGGATATGAGATGGTATCTCATTGTGGTTTTGGTTGCATTTCCCCAATGATTAGTGAAATTGAGCGTCTTTTCATGTGCTTGTGGACCCATTCAATCATTCTTTTATTTTTCTTTTTCGAGACTGAGTCTCGATTTCTCACCCAGGCTGGAGTGCAATGGCACAATCTCAGCTCACTGCGACCTCCGCTTCCCAGATTCAAGCAATTCACCTGCCTCAGCCTCCCAAGTAGCTGGGACTACAAGCGTGCGCCACCACACCCGGCTAACTTTCGTATTTTCAGTAGTGATGGAGTTTTACCATGCTGGCCAGGCTGGTCTCAAACTCCTGACCTCAGGTGATCCACCCACTTTGGTCTCCCAAATTGCTAGGGTTATAGATGTGAGCCACCACACTTGGCCCATTCAATCATTCTTTCATTAAAAATATGTATTAAGCACTCAGTATGCACTAGGCACTGTTCTAGATCCTGGTAATACAGTGTTGAACAGCCCAGATGCTCACATACGTGATGTGTGTTTGACTTTTGTTGCCACCATCAGCTGTGAAATGATGACCCCTTTCTGTGCCTCAGTTTCCATGTTTGGGTAATGGGTGCCATATGTCAGCTGCTATCAACTGAGCCCTTAATTGTGTTCAAGGCAAAGTGCTAAATCTCCACCTAGACCCAATCCTTCATATCAGTCCCATGAGGTAGGTCCTGCTCTCTTCATTTTATAGCTGGGGAAACTGAAGCAAGTTGGCCTATGTAACACCAGCAAGGACACAGAATAAGGAAGTGGTGGAGGCCAGCGCAGTGGCTCATGCCTGTAGTCCCAGCACTTTTGGAGGCTGAGGCAGGCAGATCACTTGAAATCAGGAGTTCAAGACCAGCCTGGGCAAAGTGGGCAACATGGAGAAACTCCATCTGTACAAAAAATGCAAGAATTACCTGGGCATGGTAGCACAAGCCTGTAGTCCCAGCTACTCAGGAGGCTGAGGCAGGAGGATCACTTGAGTCCAGGAGGCAGTGAGCTGAGATTGTGCCACTGCACTCCAAACTTGGGCAACAGAGGGAGACCCTGTCTCAAAAAAATAAAAAATGAAAAAGATGGAGACACTCCAATACCTAACATTTGGCCACTGCAGGACACAAACCACATGATCTATTTCACAGGACTCTTAGGAGCATCAAATGAGTTGGCCCACCTAGGAAGCACCCAACGCACATTGGCTCTTGGCAGTATTACTCACTCCTTTATACTGATTCTTCCCAGTTCCTCCTTTGTCCCTATTCTTTCCCCTACTTTCATTTGCTGGTCATGGTCTGCCTCTGATCTCACCTTCTGCTATGCTTATATTCATTCATTCATTCATTCATTCATTCATTCATTCTTCATTCAACCCTCATTTCTTTCACTTTTTTTTTTCTTTTGAGACAGAGTCTTACTCTGTCACCCAGGCTGGAGTGTAGTGGCACAGCCTTGGCTCACTGCAACCTCCACCACCTGAGTTCAAGCGATTCTCCTGCCTCAGCCTCCCGAGTAGCTGCGATTACAGGCACCCGTCAACAAGCCCAGCTAATTTTTGTATTTTTAGTAGAGACAGGTTTTTACCATGTTGGCCAGGCTGGTCTTGAACTCCCGACCTCAAGTGATCCACCCGCCTTGGCCTCCCAAAATGCAGGAATTACAGGTGTGAGTCACTGTGCCCGGCCTCAACCCTCATTTCTTGAGGTCTGCCGTGTTCCAGGCCTAATGCCAAGAAATTCTGGGACACACAGAGGAATTGGACTCCCATGCCCTATCCCCTCCAGGAACTCCCAGCTTGCCGAGGACGAAGAAGATCATCTATCAACGAATGCATGTCCTACGGGGCACCTCAGAGCAGGAAACTGACCCAAGTTTGGTGGGAGGAATGAGTGTGCATATGTGTCTGTGTCTAGGGAAAGCTTCCTCAAGAAGGTGCCTCCTGAGCTGCCCGCTGCAGGTAAAGTACTACATCAGCAAAGAATGTGAGCGAAATGTTCCACAGCATGGGCACAGGCCTGCAGAACTGGACAGAACTGAGCAGCTGAGGAAACTACATTATTTATATTTATATTTTTAATTTTTTCTCCAGCTATGTGCTAGAGGTAGTAAAATATTAACTGTTCCCAAAGGATGAGAAAATAGCTGAGGATGAGCATCTTAGGAGGGGAAGGAGATGAGGATGCATGACCCCTAGAGGCATACTCCACCCCTCACACACCTCTGCTTGCTTCAACCACTCCATCTCTCTCCAGAAGGTTCTAGGTTCCCTGCAGAAAGAGACTGGAAGCGCTCTCCCTCTCTCTCTCCCCTCCACCCCTACAGGACTGGAGACTACAACTCCCATGATCCACTGCGACTGCTCTTCTCACAACTGGGCTCCAGACTTCACGGGGTCTCATGGGAAATGTAGTCCTCACCGGCTTCTGCATCCCTTTCCTTTTTTTTTTCCCACGCATTTCCAGACTTTTCAACCAATTGAGAGGTGGGAAGCGCCCTGCTATTATTGAAGCCAACAACACCCTCTTTCTTATAGAGGTGGGAGCAGGAAATCCAGAGTGCTGGAGCAACTTAGCCCAGATTACAGGGCCAAGGTCCCATGGCCTTGCAGTGAGTGCTGGATGTTAGACTTTGGGTTTTTTTCTTGCTTTTCTTCTTTTCTTTAACAGGCGGGGAAACGGAGACCACAGAAGTTCAAAGTTTGTCCCATATCACGAGTCGGGCTCAGGAGCCGGGACTTGCTGTCTCCCAAGCTGCTCAGAGAGAGAAGGGATTTGGGGAAGGGCAGGGTCGGTTGTCAGTGGGGTTGCCCCGCCCCCAACCCTGAAGTATCCACCCCCACCACTGCCCTCCCCGCTCCTCCAGGGTTGAAAAGAGGCGTCTGCGTGAAGATCAATCATTTCCCGGAGGACACGGACTACGACCACGACAGCGCGGAGTATCTACTCCGTACGTGGGGGTCCGGGACAGAAGTGGGGAGTGGGTCAAATCGCGGGGCCTGAGGGCGTCGGGGTGGGCGCCGGGAGAAGGCACTTGGATCGACACGCCGAGGTTAGCCTCCCAGCCAATCCGAGTCCAGATAGTGAGATCCTCTGGTCCCCGATTGGCTGAGTGATCTCGCCCCCGCCCCTCCTCTCACCTTGGGGCGGGCTGAGGGAGGATCCTGAGCGCTCATTGGCCGCCTTGCTCTCTCTGGCCCTCGCGGCGACTCTGCGCCGTGACTGGTTGTGGAATCCCGGGCTGGGATTGGCCACCGCGCCGCAGGGCTATGGGGCAATCTGCGGTGGGGACGGGCCACTCCCTGGAGCCGGTTGGGAAAGCCTGTGTTTCCATTGGTAGCTACCCCGAGAACGCGGCAAATCCTAAATGATGATTGGCTGCAGCCTCAGCCAAGCTCCGAAATCGCAAAATCTGGTTGCCTGGGGTTTTAAGAGTGGGTGGAAAGCACGGACTGCAGAGAAAGAGACAAGGGGGGCGGAGCGGGGGGAGGGGAGAGAGAGAAGGGGAAGAAGGGAGGGAGGAAAAGAGAAAGACTCAGATAGATGAAGTCAGGCCTAAAAGGGGGTGGGGAGGGAAGGAGGAAGGGGAGAGAAAGGGAGTGGAGAGAAAAGGAAACCTGGAAGATTGAGGAAGCCAGGCATTAAAGGAAGGGAGAGATCCAGGAGGCCAGAGGAGGCCAGGCGAAAAAAGGGGCGGGGTGAAGTGGGGAGAGACCTAGGAAGACAGATGAGGTCAGGCAGAAAAAAAAGACGGGGGAGAGACCTAGGAAGATAGGCGAAGCCAGACAGAAAAAGTTGGGGGCGGGGACTAGGAAGCCAGATGAGGCCAGGCAGAAAAACCGGGGTGTTGGAGGGAAACCTATGAAGACATATGAGGCCCAGAAGATAAGAGGAGAGAGGGGAGACAGACCCAGAAAGATAGATGAAGCCAGGCAATAAAACAAGGGGGGTGCGGCGGGAGGAGAAGAAGGGAAGAGAAACTCAGAAGTAGATTCCGCCTGGCAGAAAAGGGAGGAGGAGGAGGGAGGAAGGAATGTAGAGAGAGAGAGAGAAACTCAGATGAAGCGAGGCAGAAAATGGGAGGGGTGTGGAGAGAGGTAGTAAGTGATTTGCGGGATATGGAGAAAGAAATTCGCAGACGAGAGGAAGGGAGGGATGAGAAAGAGAGAAAGGGAGAGGATCCATGGAGAAGTTGGGAGAAAAACAGGGAGAGTGATTTCGATAAACAAAGAGGGGAAAAGATATTCCGGGAGAGAGAAAAATAGTCCGAGGGAGAAAGAAAAGGACAAAAAAAAAAAAGAAGGAGAGGGAATCAGACCGAGAAACAGAGAAATTTTAAAAACAGGAGAGAGAATGAGGCAACAGTAAAATAAACCAGAACACAGCCGGAGAGGAAGAATCACATAACTGGTGGGAGGCGCCGCGAGATGGGGGGCCGGGAGGGGGGCGCAGGGGGCCGCGTCTGACCGCCCTCGCTCTCCCTTCTTTTCCTTCCTCCCCCGCAGGAGTTGTCCGGGCCTCCAGCATCTTCCCCATCCTTAGCGCCATCCTGCTGCTGCTTGGGGGCGTGTGCGTGGCGGCCTCCCGCGTCTACAAGTCCAAGAGGAACATCATTCTGGGCGCAGGGATCCTGTTCGTGGCAGCAGGTGAGAGGCAGAGGGAGGGGGCGACCGGGGCGGCCCACCTGCGCGCGCACGTGTGTGTGTGCGCGCGCGCGTGTGTGTGAGTGCATGTGCGCGTGTGTGTGTCTGCAAAGCCACCTTGCCCCGAGCACCCCCGGGGGTCCGGAGCCTTCCTGGGCGGTCCCCAAGCTCCATCGCCACCCGCTGGGTAAGGTGGGTGTAGTCTTCGCGACGCCTTCGGAGGAGTGCAGCGGCAGAGACAGGTGTCTAGCGCGTAAGACGCCGAGCGCTTAGGATCCTTAGCCCGCCGTCCTGGAGACGGAAGGGGAGGAGCTGGGGGAGGGGGTGGGATCTTGAGACACAACTGGGCTCTTGAGGATAGAGAGGCGCGGCTGGGCCTTGGAGGGCGGGCCCAGGAGAGGTAGAAAGTGATCTGGGCGCGGATGAGGAGCCTGTTTTAAGGGGCTGGCCTTTGGAGACCTTGGTGGATCCAAGAGGGGGCTGGTCCTGGGAAACCGTCCAGGGCCGGGAAGTGGAAACTAAAGGGGCTGGGCGAGGGAGACTGAATCGGCCCTTGCCCGTTACCATTTGGAGAAGGAGAGGCTAGAAAAGACAGGGTGATGCCTGGAAAAGCCAAAGGGGGAGGGGTTATGTCCTTAAGGACACAAAGAATCAACCTGGCTGATTGAAGCAAGAGGCTGACCAAAGCCAGTCAGTACCTGGGATTGGCCGTCTCAAGAACTAGGGCCTAGAGGAGCAGAGAGCTAGGACAGGAACACTTAAGAGGCATGTAATTAAGGGGTAAGACCCCCTTTCTACCCCGTATGGGTAGCATTGGGAAATTCCAGGGAGCAGAGCTTTTTTGGAGGAGTAGAATACAGAGAAGAGGGAGGGCTTTGCATATTTGAAGAGCAGGGTGTGCTTTGGGGGTGGGTCTAGATCTACAAAGGGTGGGGCTTGGAGGACCTGAAAATCCGGAGTAGCTGGACCTGGGACCGGGGAGGACCCTGGCCAAGATCCGCACGGGGCGGGGTTTGGTAAGCTGGAGGTGGGGCCTAGAGTAGAAGGCGGGGCCTGCTTTATTAAGGGCAAATTTTTGACCAGCAGGGGAGGGCCTAGAATGGATACTCCGCCAGGAATTATATGACGAAGAGAGGGTTTAGATAAGTGATAGGCAGGATGACATCATTAACAGAGTTCAAAGGAGCAGAGGGACGGGGCTTGGGAAAAACCCAGGTTTATAACGTTAAGGGTGGAGTTAGACTAACCAGGCAGGGGCTGTAAACTCATCAAAGGTGGGTTTTAGACCAATCAGGGCAGGGCCTGGACTAGCTAGGGGTGGGGCTTAGGTCACCTAGGGGTGGGGCCTGGACCACTTGGGGTGGAGTTACCACCAGAGAGGTTGGGGTTTAGACCAGCAGAGGTGGGACCTTAGCTAGAGGAGTGGGGTTTATGCCATGTGGGGGCAGCCCAGACCATCTGGGGGTGGATCTTAGACCACGTAGGGCCGAGTTCAGACCAGCCAGGGCTGGATTAGACCAGCAGAGGTGGAGCTTGGGTTATCCGGGGGCAGAACCTGGACCATCCAGGGCCCTGTCTTGTACATTCAGGGCAGGGCCTGGACCACCTGGGGGTGGGGTTTAGACCATCTGGGATGGGACTTGAACCAGCCAGGGCCAGGACCATCTAGGGTGTTGCCTGGACCAGTTGGGGTCCTAGACCACCTGGGGGTGGAGTTTAGACTAGCCAGGGCTGGGCTAGACCAGCAGAGGTGGGCCCTGGGCTATCTGGGGGCAGGACCTGGACCAGCCAGGGCCGTGTCCGGACCATTCAGGGCAGGGCCTGGACCACTTTGGGGTGGAGTTTAGACTGTCTGAGGGGGTACTTGAGCCTGCGGGGCCAGGACCACGCATGATGCAGTTGGACCATTGGCGGCCCTGCAACACCAGGGGGATGGAGTTTAGGTCAGCCGGGGCTGGGTTAGACCAGCGGAGATGAGGCCTGGGCTAGCTAGGAGTGGGCCTGAGCCCTCTGGGTTGGAGCTTAGACCAGCAGGGCAGCGCCTAGAGTATCTGGCGGGGAGTTGTGTTCACTTCCGGCAGGACTTGGGTCAGCCAGATCCAGGATGGGGGTCTAGCCTGGGGGTGGCGCCTAGGCCCGCTGGCGCAGAGGGGCCGGGGCCGGGGACCGGGGAGGGGCCGGGGGTGGCCTCGAGGCTCCCGTCTGACCGTCCCCGCCCAGGCCTGAGCAACATCATCGGCGTGATCGTGTACATCTCGGCCAACGCGGGCGAGCCGGGCCCGAAGCGGGACGAGGAGAAGAAAAACCACTACTCGTACGGCTGGTCCTTCTACTTCGGCGGGCTGTCGTTCATCCTGGCCGAGGTGATCGGCGTGCTGGCCGTCAACATCTACATCGAGCGCAGCCGCGAGGCGCACTGCCAGTCTCGCTCGGACCTGCTCAAGGCCGGCGGGGGCGCGGGCGGCAGTGGCGGGAGCGGCCCCTCGGCCATCCTCCGTCTGCCCAGTTACCGCTTCCGCTACCGCCGCCGCTCCCGCTCTAGCTCCCGCTCCAGCGAGCCGTCGCCGTCGCGGGACGCGTCTCCCGGCGGCCCCGGGGGCCCGGGCTTCGCCTCCACAGACATCTCCATGTACACGCTCAGCCGCGACCCCTCCAAGGGCAGCGTGGCCGCGGGGCTGGCGGGGGCCGGCGGCGGCGGCAGCGGCGCCGTGGGGGCGTTCGGCGGCGCGGCCGGGGGCGGCGGCGGAGGCGGCGGCGGGGCGGGCGCCGAGCGGGACCGCGGGGGGGGCGTCCGGCTTCCTCACGCTGCACAACGCCTTCCCCAAGGAGGCGGGCGGCGGCGTCACGGTCACGGTCACCGGGCCGCCCGCCGCGCCCGCGCCCGCGCCACCCGCGCCCGCTGCGCCCGCACCCGGGACCCTGGCCAAGGAGGCCGCCGCCTCCAACACCAACACGCTCAACAGGAAAACCACGCCTGTGTAGGGCGCGGCGGGGGAGCCGAGGGGCGTGTCCGGGGCGCGTGCGCGGGCGCGCGTGCATCGAGGCTGCCGGGGTCGGGGGCGCCCCCGCTTTCCCCCGTGAGCGCGCTGGAGACTGCTGGGCCCGCCCCCCGCCCACCCTCCCTGCCCTCCTCCCCCTCCGAAGCAGGGACCCCGAGGGAGGGGGCAGGGGAGAGAGGGGGCTGCTGTGAGGGAGCGTTGTGTTTTATTTTTTTGTGGGATCTATGGGGAGGGGGGAGGGCCATGGTGTTTTTTGCAGTTTCGAGATGTTTTCTTTTTCACGTTTTGCTGTGTGCATGGGGTGGCGGGGCGCGGGGAGGGGAGGGAGGGACTCCCAGCCCAGCCCAGCCCAACTCCTGGAGAGGAGCCCATAATACACAAATACATAGTTACACCCACAAACTATATATATGCCCTATATAAAGAGACACAGCTAAGGGACGCAGAAAGGCAGAAAGAAGGGTTGGACGCGGGCATTCATTCATTTTTTTTCATTCATTATTCCACAAAGGCTTATTAAGCACCTACTGTGTACCAGGCACGGGTACATAAGAAGGCACTGGAGCAGGGGACACGAACGAGGCACAGAAGGGCCTCCTCGTTCATTCATTACCGGCAATTTATTTGTGCGCCTTAAAAAGCTAGGCATTGTGCTCCGTGCTCAGCGTGCAGGAGGCAGGAAAACAGCCAGGGGTCCCGACATCTCATAGAGTAAACATCTTGTGCATGAGACAGGCATTAATCGATCATGTACATACACAATAAATTACAGTTAGGCTATAGGAGAAATGAGATGCTATGAAATGCTCCATCAAGGGAGCCTAACCCAGTTGTGAGGAAGAGATTTCAGTGGACAGTGAAAGGATGAGAAGAAGCCAGCAGGGCGGAGCTGGGGTGGAGTGTGGCAGGCAGAGCAGCACTTGCAAAGGCCCGGGGGCAGGAAGGAGCTTGCAGCAAGGGCTGAAGGGTAGTGAGGCAGGTGAGCGGGGACCAAGGTGAGGCTGGAGACGCAGACAGGGCCAGATTGTGCAGAGACTCATAGGCTAGGAGTTTAGATTTTATTCTAGGGATGGCCATGGAATGGGTTTAAGCAGGACCCTAACGTGAATGGTGTACAAAGGGAAGACAGGAACTCGGAGACAAGAGTAAGAGGTGGAGATATGCTGAAATACAGCATAAAACATGGGCACTGGCCCTTGGAGCTTACACTCTTGTGGGAGGAAGCACATAATTACACAAATAGTGAAGCATAGACATGGTGTCTGGTGTGCAGGAGAAGCCCTGGGGCTTACAGACTCATGTGTCTGTCACTCATTCATTCAGCCACTCACCCGTTGCCATTTTTGGCCATCTGCTAAGGTACTGGGAAGTGTTAGGATCCAGGTACCCAGGGGTGAAACAGACTCTAGCCCTGCTCTTAAGCAGTTTATTGTCATCAAACGCCACCATCCAGGCAGGGCAATCGGTGCTGGAACGGGGACCACAGTGGGTACCATGGCACACAGTGGATAGAGTGACCAACTGCCAGGAGTGGGCAGCACTCGGAGGAGGCTTTCTGGAAAATAAGATGCCCATTCTGGGTCTTAGATGAGTGGGCATCTTCCGGGTGATGAAGGGCGTGAGAAAGGCTTGTGGGGCCAAAGAACAACTTGGGTAAAAACCGGGGGAAGCGAACAAGCGTGACGTATTGGGGTCAGTGCTAATAGTTCTGGGATGCTGATGTACAAGGTGGGGCTGGGAGATGAGGCCGGGAAAGTAGCCACAAGCCAGAGTGTAAAGGTACCAGTGTGGCCGGGTACGGTGGCTCATGCCAAAATCCCAGCACTTTGGGAGGCTGAGGCTGGAGTATCACTTGAGCCCAGGAGTTTGAGACCAGCCTGGGCAACATGGCAAAACCCTGTCTCTACAAAACATTTAAAAAAAAAAAAATAGCCAGGCTTGGTGGAGCACACCTGGGGTCACAGCTACTCAGGAGGCTGAGGGAGGAGGATCACTTGAATCCAAGAGTAACAAGGCTGCAGTGAGCTAGGATTGTGGCACTACACTCCAGCCTGAGCAACAGAGTGAGACCCTGTCTCAGAACAAAAGAGAAAAAGGTGCCTGAGTTCCAGGCAGAGGGATTGAGGCTTTATTCTAAGGATGGTGAGAGAAGATGATAGTTGAGCTGGGGCAAGGATTGGGGGGTGGAGAGGAGGGGATGAGTTTGAAGTTCACTGAGAAGGCAGAGGGGACAGTGCTCAGTCGGCTTCCCTTCCATAGTTGCTCAGCAAGTACTTCCTGAGGACTCCCCTGAGGCCTTGTGCTGGGCGGTGCTGGGAGTGTCGAGGTGATTTTTATCTTGCCCTGCTCTCAAGGGGCTCCCAGTCTGGTGGGAAAGCAGGCACAGACGCGGCATGAGGAGGGCATGGCAGCAGTGGTGCCGTGCTGCCAGGGGCTCTGCGTGCCCTTATCTTGAGCATATGGGGCTGCGGAAGGGTACAGATCACAGCTGAGTGTTCAGAATTTCTCTCCGGGGCCTGTGTGGAAGGACCAGGAAGAGAGTGACTGAAGGTCAAGGTCTCTAGGAAGAATTCTGCCAAGGCGGTTTCAGGAAGAGATGCTGGGAAATGTAGGAAAAGGAATACAAATTAGTGAGACGGAGAAGTGCTGAGAGAAAGAGAAGGATAGGTGGAGAGAAGAGGGATGCCGGAGCGGGTGTTAAAAGGGACAGATCTGGCTGGGTGCAGTGGCTCCTAATCCCAGCACTTTGGGAGGCTGAGGCAGGTGGATGAGGCAGGCGGATTAAGCTCAGGAGTTCCAGACCAGCCAACATATTGAGATCTTGTCTCCACAAAAATTAGCCAAGTGTAGTGGTGCACGCCTGTAGTCCCGGCTACTGAGGAGGCTGAGGCGAAAGGATCTCGCTTGGGCCTGAGAGGGTGAGACTGCAGTGACCCGTGATGGCACCACTGTACTCCAGCCTGGGCGAAAGAGCAAGACTCTGTCTCAAAAAAAAAAAAAAAAAAAAAAGGAAAGAAAAAAAGAGAGACAGCAAATATTTGCTGGAAGAGGGAGAGAGAATTGGTTAGGAGAGAGTGGGTTCTAGAGTCCCAAGGCCAAACAAAACAAGAATGAGGTGGAGGTTGGGCACGAGGAAGAGCAAGATGGGGAGGGAGAGGGAGGGAAGGAGAGACCAAAACTAGTAGAGTCACAGACAGAGAAAAGGTCAAAGCCAGGAAGGTGATACAGAGAAGAGAGAAGAGGAGAGAGACTGACAGGTGCACAAATCAGAGAAGTCCCAGAGGTGACAAAAACACGACCACAGAGATGGTGATGGAGATGGAGAGGTAAGCTGGAGACAGAGATTCACACAAAAAGCAACATGGAGACTCAGGAGCAAGCACAGTGTCAAGGAATGCTCCATTTCTGGTGTGTTGTTTTCCCAGTATTCAAGAAATATTTGAGTGCCAACCTGTTCTAGACCCAATCTAGGCCCAGGGGATGTGGTGACAAATAGACGGACAAGGGCCTGCTCTCCTGATACTCACCGGAGAGATAAACAATAAATAATATCATTTCAGTAACCAAAAAGTGCTTTAAAAATTAAGCAGAAGGCCGGGTGCAGCGGCTCATGCCTGTAATCCCAGCACTTTGGGAGGCCGAGGCTGGTGGATCACTTGAGGTCAGGAGTTCGAGACCAGCCTGGTCGACATGGTGAAACTCCATCTCTACTAGAAAATAAATAAATAAATAAATTAGCTGGGTGTGGTGGTGTGCCTGTAGTCCCAGCTACTTGGGAGGCTGAGAAAGAAGAATCATTTGAACCCGGGAGGCAGATGTTTCAGTAAGCCGAGATCGCACCACTGCACTCCAGCCTGGGCGACAGTGAGTGGTAACAGAATGACAGAGCAAGGACGACTTTAGATGAGGTACTTGGAGAAGGCCTTGTGGCAGAGGTCACAGAGGCGTGGATTGTGAGAAGGAAAGAGAGGTGAGAAAGTCTGGGGTCCAGGAATTCTGCCCACTGGAGGCAGCCCCAAAGCCCGGAAGAGTAGCAGGTCTTCAAGGGGGCCGGTGCGGTGAGCAGATCCATGATAGGACAGAGGCCCAGGGTAGGGGCTGATCAGTTAGGGCCTTGGATGCCTGGGAAGAAATCTGAATTTTATTCTAGAGCTGATGGGAAGTCCTTGGAGGGTGTTGAGCACAGGCATGCCATGATCATATTTTTATTTATTTATTTATATTTATTTTGAAAAAGAGTCTTGCTCTGTCTCAGGCTGGAGTCCAGTGGGCCAATCTCGGCTCGCTGCCAACCTCCGCCTCCCGAGTTCAAGTGATTCTCCTGCCTCAGCCTCCTGAGTGGCTGGGATTACAGGCATGTGCCACCACGCCCGGCTAATGTTTTTGTATTTTTAGTAGAGACGGGATTTCACCATGTTGGCCGGGCCAATCTCAAATTTCCGGCTTCAAACGATCCACCTGCCTCGGCCTCCCAAAATGCTGGGATTATAGGCGTGAGCCACAGCGCCTGGCCTCATATTTTTATTGAAACAAGAACAGCAGAATTACATTGCTGGGCTGAGCATACGTAGACTTCAGGAGTCAAAGTGGAAGGAAGGAGGTAGCCGGCTGTTGCTTTCCTCTGGTTGAGGCTGCTGGAGGCCTGGACCAAGGTGCAGTTGGTGGGATAGAGGAAGTGGAAGAAGGCATGGGATATTGGAGGCAGAGCCTGCAGTGGTGGTGAACTGGATGTCATAGAGGAGGGAAGGAGAAGGAACCAGGAAGAGAAGAACGCTTGGAATTGGGCATGCGCATCTCTGATGGGCGCCAATGAGGATTGTCACCAGGAATGGGGAGACTGGGATCAGGAAAACGGCTTTGGGAAGGAGAAACCAAGGCTTCTCTTTTGGATGTGTCAAGATAGAGATGCCTTTGAGAAATCCGAGTTGGGGTATCAAATAGCCAGTTGGATATGTGAGACTGGAGTCTGGGGGAAAGAGAGGTCATGGCTCAAAAATGTAAGTTTTGGAAACGTCAACATAGAGGGGACATTTAAAGCCACAGGACTGGGTGATGTGGCCTAGCAGGTGGGTGGGGACAGAGAAATGACCCTGGCCAGAGCCTTGGGG